GACAACAAAACTAATAGAGTATACGGATTTAATGATTTTGGATGTCATTAATGTTATGAATTGAAGTTTCAGAATTTGATAGGAATGTAAATGCATATTTTTCCCATTTTATTTTATGTGCTCGTATGATTAATCAATGTTAAAATGTACTCATTACGTTCATATTTTGATTTAGGTGGCAATTCTAGGGATATAGCGTAATTTGGAAGAAATAAGCGAACAAAGAACAAAGTGAAAGAAAATGAAGTTTGGGGACTGAAATGCAAATAATCAAAAGTTATGTGGAACCTCACGATGAAGATTTGAGAGTGTTAGGAGTCAATTGGATGAAAGAAGACATCAAATGGATGAAATATCCTCAAAGTATGATCACACATCAATTTCCAATCGAAAAAGTTATGCACTGATTTTCAATGTCATATTAAGACCCATTTTTAACATGGAAAACCATCTAATTGGAAGATAATATCTGAAAAAAAGTTGTAGTTCTTTGAATTAGCTTTCCAACGCATCTTGAATCACTACAATCGGACATTAGGAGTGGATGATATGACCAAATTATTGAAAGCTGTCCGACGGATGAAACCTATAACTATGCAGCCGCATAGCTTTAATTCTATGCGGTCGCGAGAGGGTTTTTAGCAAATTTCAGAGCCCAGTTTCAATGTTCTATGCGGCTGCACGACTTACTACTATGCAGCCGTATAGTTCATTCCTGACACGAAAATTCTGATTTCCGAATCTAAATCAACTACTTATGAAAATAATTATAAATACATATTTTAAAACCCTAGAATGGGGGAAGAACGTACAGAACGTCTCCAAACTTCATTTTTCATTATTTTTCTCATAGATTCATGAATTGTAACTAAATTTTTACACTTGGTCGAAAGAGATTGAAACTTCGGAACCACATATTGTGAGATCTAAATGATTTTTTTTAGTTTAATTCATGTTTTTGAGTATTCAATATTCTTCTACACTTATTTCCATNAAACTTCAATCCTCATTATTTTACTCTTAGATTCATGGATAGTTACTAAACTTTTACACTTGGTCGAAGGAGGCTGAAGCCTCGGAACATATTGTGAATCTAAATGGTTTTTCTTAGTTTAATTCATGTATTTGAGTATTTAATATTCTTTTGCACTTATTTCCACGATTGTTATGTTTAATTGATAGAAGACCTGCTAGTTTGTTATTCGTTGCAATCTACCGCTAAGTTAAATATCAAATCCATAATTGTTTGATTTCTTTAACTTGTGAAGCAACTAGGGTTTGATAATTTGCTGCTTGGGTGATTTTTGAATCTTAGGAAGAATGTTCAACTAAATTAAATGCAACCGTTTGTGCTTATGTTGTTTAGCTTCATCGATCTTTCTAATTCGTAATGCGATTATCAAATTAAATTTAGAGTGTTTGTCTTAGGTTGTTTGGTAATTAGTGTTAATTGGGTCGCTTGTATTCTAATTAATTATAAGTAAGGAGAGATGGAAAAATAATTTCAACGGTGAATATTCAAAATATTGCATCGATGATCGATTGTAAAGTTCCGAATGTGGATATTGACTTGAACCAAGGTTAGTCTTTTGATTTTTTTTTTAATTTAATTTTCATTGTTATTAATTGCATTATTTACAATTATTTGCATACAAAAACCCCTCAATCATTGTATGAAGCATAAAATATTGAATTTCATACTTTTCGTAGGATCGACACTTACTTCCACTACTACATTAGTTTTAGAGGTTAAAGTATTACTTTTGAGTACCTACGACAACATACACTAAATTTTGACGTCGTTGTCGAGGAGTGATGCTAATTTATTTTTGTACTTCTTTAGTTGTTTATTTTATTTTTGAAAAAAAAAATCATAATTTTATAGGTTTTTAGGCAATTTATTGTTT